AACGTTTTTGTCAATATTTTTTATAGTTTGCGTAATCAAATTTCAATTAAATTTATTTTAAATTAAAGTACAGTCTTTGCCCTACTCGTAAAATACCTTTTCAAGCTTAAAGTCTCGCGTTTTTAATACTTAAAATCACATAGAATGCAATGCTGTAAAGTGTATATCTTTCACACATATCTTTCATATGTTTGAAACGTTCGCGTCACTATTTTTTATACTTCGAAGAAACGAAACTCGATGAAATTTAGATTAAATTAAATTACACTGTTTTGTTTATGTGTAGAACACTTTTTTAACTTTTATTTCGATCTGCAATTTTTCATAAAATGTCAGAGAATGCAATGCTGTAATTAGTGCATGTTTGCACTTTTTTTGAAGAAAGTTTTTAGGTTAATATTTTTTATATTTAGAGTGATCGAATTTCAATGAACCTTATATTAAATTAATATATCATTTATTTTCAAGACCTTTTGATTTGGGTTGGCTGCTAATTTTTTCATTGTTTCTTGTTTTATTATCGATCTCTTTCGATCGTTTCTGTTCACAGGTAGCAATATTGTTACTAACATCTGAAGAGGATTAGTCGTAATTAGAATAATATAATAAATGATAAGATAATAAGATGAGTAATGCGACGAGAATTTTTTAAATTCTTTTTATCTTACAAAAAAGCTATTAAAATACAGATTTAATAATAATAATAATAATAAGATAATTCTACGAGAAATTAAAATATTTTTATCAGGTTTTAAAATATTATTAGAGAGGTATTTTTTATAACATTTCGAATTCTTATTATTAGGTGTTGGAATTAATTCGTAGAGTTTGATGAGAAATGGCGTGGTTTTACAGTGTTCTGTTTTTTACCTTCAGAAACAAAGTGATCGTAAATCAGCTGTTAATAGGTGTTATTTTTACGACACATCTTATTCCTAATTGTTAATAACAATAAGTGGCAGCTATTTAATTATGTCGAAATTTTTTCCAAATAAAGTGTTTTTGCGGGGAGTTTTATTACATTATTTTAATTTGAATAAAAGTGCTGCGAAAAGTCATCAGAAGTTTACTGTGAACATGCTTTAGCTGATCAAACGTGTCTGAAGTGGTTTGCGCGTTTTAAAAGTGGTGATTTTGATTTAGACGACAAGAAACGACCTGGACAGCCAAAAAAATTTGAAGATAAAGAATTGGATGATTTACTTGAAGGAAATTCATATCAAACACTTCCAGAGTTATCTACATCGTTGGGGGTTGATTTATCAACGGTAGGAAAACGCATTAAAGCTTTGGGAATGATCCAAAAGGAAGGAAATTGGGTCCCATATGAATTAAAACCGAGAGACATTGAAAGACGTTTTATGACCTGTGAACTACTGCTTGAACGGTACAAAAGAAAAAAATTTTCACATCGTATTATTACTGGTGATGAAAAATGGATATATTACGACAATCCGAAACGCAGAAGATCATGGGTTAAGCCCGGACAACCATCATCATCATTGGCAAAACGCAATATTCATGGATCTAAGCTCCTCCTTTGTATTTGGTGGGATCAACAAGGTGTGGTTTATTATGAATTGTTAAAACCC